TAACCACAACGTTATAATTGAGATCAAAACTATAAACAGCCCAATGTCAAATACTAAGCTATAATTCAGTCACAACAATCTCCAAATATAATCAGATTAAGCAATATAATTATCCCAACAATCAAAAACTATCGTAAGACCTAAGAATTGTTAAACAATTATTGAGTAAGAAATTAAAGCAACTAGAACTCCCTCTTAAATATCCAAACTCCTGCCATTATTGTTGAATTGGAGAATCATGAATTAGCCACGGTTTGCCATCAAATTCGCTGCCACCAGCAGTTCTCTATTGCAAGCTTCCATGGAGGATATCGAAGGAAGAGTGGAGAAAACCGTCAGCTCCCCTGGTCTGCGTCTGCCGTCACTCTGTTTTCTCCCTCTCTTAGCCGCCGCCCAGCTCGCGTTCCGCTTGTGTGCTTCGTCCTCTGTTCTTCTCGCTGTTGATTGGAGAAAATAGAGGAAGGTGATGATGGACTGGACCGATGGAAGGACCTCTCTCTTCTCTCGCCGCCTCCAGCTCTGTTCTCCGCTTCTGCATGTGTGCGTGTTGCTCTGTTTTTCCAGCGCCGCTTGCGTGTATCAGCTCGTTCGGTCTCCCCGCGGATGAAGAAGATGAATAATAGTATATTAGGTTGGGGGGCAAAACGCAACGTTTTGCTCCCCTTTTTTTTAATTATTTTTTTAATTATATTTTTTTCTTTTTCTTTTTTTCTTTTTCATTTTTATTTTTAAATCTTCTAAAAAACCTGCAAACAAAATTCAAAGATAAAGTAGCATTAATTGTCCTAGAAAATCAATTAGTCACAATTAAACCAAAATATGACAATTTTACCCCTATAAAATAATAATTCAAAATAAAACATATTAAATCTATTAACAATCAATTAAAGTCAAAAAGGACTAATTAAGTTGACAAAACCCATATAAAAGATATCAAAATATATAAAAATAATTGAGTTTGTCATCGATATCTTTTCCTCTATTTAAATCTATGATCCTTTCAGGGAAAGTTTTAGAGGCAGCGCCTCTGCAGTTCCAGGAAATGATATTCATAATAAAAGGAATTAAGATAGAGAGAGCAGTGCCGCATCTCAATGGGTTTCCTACTCCATGGTATTTTCATGCCCCACCAGTTCCTCTACCTATTATCTCTAGTTTCAAACCACAAATCATTATTCTCATTTTCTTCATTTTCCCAGGACGCCTTTTGTAATAATTCTAGTGGGTCTGGGGGTCTTCTTGGAGTTGAAACCAATTCATTCTCTAACTCCTTTTGTCTTTGATCAGTTGTATGACACCCACTCTCAACTCTACTTTATGCCGCATTCTGTAACATCTTTGCAAACTCTCCATTTTGCTGTGTGTTCTCCTCAAATTGTGCATTTAAGTCCATTTGCACTTTGGTAGATAGTAACCCAAACACTAGCTGATGGGCTCGTGCATGCTGTTTCTTTTTCATTATTGGGGAAATAATTTTGGGTCTGGAATTTTGGTGTCTTTTTTAGCCCACCAGTGTCCTTCTCTTGACTCCCTCCTTTTTTCCTTCAATTGGGCTTACTTCATTTGTCTGCCCATTTAAGCTATTAAGTCCACCTTGTTCAAATGATTTACTTTTAACTAAATTCACTTTGTTTTTTTCCCTTGCTGCCGTCGTTTTCCCCTATCTTTTAAACACAAAGACCCTATTTTCCTTCCCTTTCTTACTACCTTCCACAGACACTTCTTTCTTCTTAGGATCAGATGGCACAACTTTCTTCTGCAAAACTTTCGCCTTATCCTTTCTGTTACTAGTTTGGTTTGCCTCAGCATGAGGGTCATCCTTGGAGGACTCATGGAGCACTCCATATCGGCTAGAAGATGTACCTTTCTCCTCTTTTCCTACTATCTTTTTTCCACTTCCGTACCTCATCTGATCCCTACTATCTGTTTCGCCTCTCACTTATCTTTGTCTAAAGGTCCTTTTTGCTTTTATCCAATCACCATATTCCTTCTCCAGGTTAATACCTGGTTTGCTAAACAAGGGCTTCTTCTCCGGTTGAGATCCCCTCTAATTATCATTTTCCGGTGCACTGCTCATGGTTGGCATATTCATTATGGTTTGTGGTTGGCTTTGCTCGGCAATGAGAGCGTTGGCAGAGCATTTTTCCTGGTTATGCCCATAGCATCCACACTTGAAGCAAATAAGATCCAAACCTTCATACCCTACATTGTAAATCATTCTCCTCAAGACAAAACATGATGTAGTTTCTTGTTTAGGTCGATTTCCACACTAACTCTAGCGTATTTTCCCCTTTCAACAATATTCTTTCGATTCTGACAGTGGGCTAAGGTGTTCATATCAACCTTAAGAGCTTTTCCTATCATGTTCCCCAGTTCCCAAATACAATCTTCTGCATACACATGGATAGGTAAAGTTGGTATTTGAATCCATATTGGTACTTTTCTTACTTTGCTACAATACGGGTTGAAGTTTGGGTTCCATTGCTGAGCTGCTAAGTAATGACCTTGAATTACTCAGGGGCCTTCAAAAAGCAAACAGTTGCACAGATATTTGTCCTCAGAACGGAAGATAAAGTACCCATTCGGTAAGTCAATGAGCTCAAAGTTTGAATTTTTAGCATCCATCCCACTCTGTTTTTCATCATCTCCAGACTCATTCTCCTTTTTAACAGAGTGATGATAACAGAGTCTATGCAAGGTAGGCATAGTTCTTTCCATTGTTCATCATTGATATTAAGTCTTGGGAGACTATCGTATAGTTTTTTCTGCTCTTCAGATAAGTTAGGAGCTGCTTCTTCTTCTTCCTTCAACCAATCATTCATGAGCTTATTCAAATCCTGTACTTGTATTGGGGTTTCTTCCTTCCCTATTAGTTCAGCTTTGTAAGAAATTTGGGATTTTTCACTATTTTTGATCTCTGGTTTCGACCCCTGTGCCCCACTATCACCACCAAGAGATGCTTTGTTTTCCTGGTTCTGCGAAGGCCGTGGCATCCTCACTTTTGATTTCTCTCCATTCGTATCAACATTTATTTTATCTCCCTCCATTTTCTTAATATTGCGTCCCTTAATCTCATCCTCCTCCTTAGTTGATTCAAAATTGTCCATTGGTTGCTCGCCATGCTCGAAGGAATCACTTGGTTGCATATTGTTTCTCTCACTACGTTTCTCACTCATCACTCTTGATAGACTGCGTTGAATTTGATATTATCTCAAAATTATTCAAAGGCAACGAATCGTCATAGGAACGTGGCTCCCTAAAGTATCAAAGAGCCAAAAAAAAAAGAGTAAAATTTCAACGGGAAAACTAATTTGAAAGTCCTTATAGTTTGTTTTAGTTTTGAATCAAGTCCCTATATATTTTTTCTTTTTTATTGGATCCTTTAATTTTACATAGTTAGATTTGTTAGACCCTGCCGTAAGTAAACACTAACGGCGTTAAAACTGTCATTACCTATCTCCTTCCCTGTAACCCCAAAAAGTTTCAGAACAAAACTCTCCTCCCTAATTCGTTGTTCGTTCTTTGTTCATTGCTCAATATCTTCGTTCATTCCTCCTTTGTTCTGCTATTGAAGCAATTACAGTGATTATGGTTGCATCTATCCACCGGCGGCTACTTCTCGTTTGTCTCATTGAAATTTTGCACCATTTTCGGCAAGCAAAGTGAACTTAGCTCGAACTCCGATCATCCTCCATCTTTGTTTGACAAGTATTCATTGGTGGCGACGAGTTTCTCCAGTCAGAGATTCCTCAACACACTTGGAGATTGCTTGTCAAAGATGAACAACCTTCTCAACCACAACTTCAACACTAGCTTTGTTGAATGATTTCAAACCACCGCTTTCCTGAGCTTTCAAGAAATCTAGATTAATGGGTTGATCTTAATCGAAGGTGTGGCTGAGAGAAGTACTAAATTTGTGCAGTTTTACTCCATTTTCAGAACTTAAATGAATATGAATTTATCGGGGAAAAAAAAGGGCATGTCACAATTACAAGTGGAACCCAAATTCACATAGCGTAAATCAAACTGATAAAATTCTTTTCTTTTCCAGAAAACTCAAGGAGGCTACTAAAACAAGAAAACTACAGTCACCACTACCATTCCTGTTAGCTGCAGAAAATACATAAACAAAGTCAAAGAATCAAGCAAAATTTTCACCGTTTGAAATCGCAACTCATCACCAAAGAGAGATGGAAAACTTCATTGGAATTTGGGCAGGAGCGAGAAATCTTTGCTTTCTTGCAAGCATAGAATAAGCATGGAATACCCTGTAGAGTAGGTGAGAGAAGAAGAAAATGGCTTTGAGCTCAAGGCTTTCAGAGGAAACTGGAGGAAGGTTAGCTCGAGAGAGGAAAATAATTTGCCAGAAAGTCCATTTCTTCGACGACGAGATCATGATCAAAAGGTAAGGTAGCTATATGGAGGAAGTAAATGGCGATCAGATTGTTTTATCAAAAGGAGGCAGTATGAATGCGATATTGTAGATGACCAGGGGAGATGAAATGGCAGAGATTGCCTAGGGAGCAGAGCATATACTATAGCACCTTACTTGAGTTCAGAGTGAATCTGAAAAATTTACCATGGGGAAATTAAAAAAACATATAATAAAATTATTTAATGGTAACAGTGACACTGTCAATGTTTATTTAACAGTTTTTAATTTGAGAGACTAACGGATCTAACAATGTAAAATTAAAAAACTCTATAAAAAAGGAAAAAAAGCCTAGAGACCTAATTCAAAAGTGAAGTAAACTATAAGGATCTCCAAATTAGTTTTTCCAATTTCAACGGAGTGAATGTGATAATTTTTTAATATGAAAATCCAAATTGACCCAAATTTTTAATAATATTATTAAAAGTTAAAAAGTATTTTTTATTTAATAATATTGTATTTCTTCATTAACGGTAACATAATAAAATTACACGACTTTTTCAACTCATTTTTATCTAATTAAACAAAAAAATTTTCATCATTCATATTCAGCACTTCCCCACATGTACCACTAAGAAATTTTCTGTTTCATTCCTTTCTGTTTCCTTGCACTTTTCATGCTAACCAGTTCCTTTTACCGCACATGCCCTACAGGCCACTAAAGCTAACCGGAAAATTACGAATTTTCGACTTCGCGAGTTAGGGAGTAAATCGTCGGCCGTTTGCCACCTTCCTCAGAAGGGCTTCTCGTCCAGGGAAAGGATTGCCGTTGCGCTCCGTCTCTATCTGGGACCGATATATTACGCCGTCGCCGTCACTATCACCGTCGATTCCATTTACAAAGCTAGCTCTCTTCTCTTCCTTCATTGCCGTGTTACTTCTCTCAGTTTCCTGCCACACTCTCGGAATTCGACCCTCCTCCCTTGTCTTCGTCTTCTTCTTCTGCCTCTCTCTTCTCTCCTTCCTCCTCTCTGCGACTTCCGATTGAACCTCCAACCTTCGCTCTCTCTGTTTCATCATCGTCTCATCGCCTCCCTCTTCCTTTCTCTCTATTCTCGGAATTCTACCACCCTTGGACGTTCCAAGAAGCTCGAAGTTGATTTTGCCCCAACCGGCCTTGTCATTGTTGTCCCAACCGAACCTCTCGCTTATCTCTAACAGTTCGGAAACAGGACTGATGTCACCGTCTCTCGGAGAAGACACGGCCCTGGATCGATTACCGTTCAACACATTCTCTGCGAACTCCCACTCGATTCGGTCTTTGTAAGTTGGGTCTTGCAGAACTTGGTCTGCTAACTTTGCCCACTCCTCGAAGTCGCGTGCGCGCAAATTCTTCGAGACCCATTTGAGGTAGCTGGACGGGAGGCTTCCTAGCATCTTGCCTTTGTATTTTCCAAAATCTATGACTCTGTCTCTTGCTGGGATTATTTGCGGCGACATTGGTTGCTTAAGAGGTGTTTGGCGTCGGAAATAGCATGTCACCGGCGAGAATAACCGATTGTGATGATTCACAGGATTTAGAGAGATAGATGTTCGTAAATGAGGTAGATTCATGAGGGAACACAGAAATGAAATCTCCAAAATTTTGGATGGGGGTTAGAGACCTGCGATGCCGAGGGCCTGAGAACAAACAAAGAAAGAGCAAAAACGACGATAGATAACAGCAACACGACGGGGGAGGGGGGAATTAGGTTACATCAGAAAAATTTAAACTTTGTCTTCGGAAAAAAAGAAAAAAAGAAAAAAAGAAACTTTTTGTGAACCTTGTGGCGCGAACAAGCCCACGAATCGCGAATTCACGATCTCATTAAAAACGGGTAAATTCCTGGGAGAAGAATTTGCAAATTACTGCATGTTTTTCTAATTAATTTTTTCCGTCTTCGGATCTAGCCAGGACAAACGGAGAGGGATAATAATTTCTCTGTTTCGAAGGGTAACGAATTCCAAATAATTGACTTTCTTGCATATTTTTACGTTTCCGGACTAACTAAAATGTGAAAGCGTAGGTAAAGATGTGATCATAGTAAGTTTTGGATTATCCTTGATCAGCGAAACCAGAAATATTAAAAAGCCAGCCACATGGTTTTTCATAATTTTGACGACCGTCCAAAAATCATCGGCTCGATCGATGGAAACCAGTACATGAAAAGGAGGGATTATCTGTAACAAGGAAACCAACCGACCATTTGTGGAGATTTCAACTTCAATTTTCCTTATCCAATTGTACATTATTCGTGCCGTTAATCTGGGGATTCTAGGGCGGAGAGGCATCTGATCTGGTTCAACTCTTTACCAGTTTCAGCACCATTCTTCTTCTTCTTCTTCTTTTTGGTTCAAGGTCTTCAGAACATGTCAGTATGTTGGCAAGGTCTTACGAGTACTGTAGGCAACGCTCTTCCGATTCCGCAATCACAGGCATTGTTTCACTTCCGTGTTACTACTTCTATGAGCATCTCCAGGGTTCCTTCTTGTTCAGCCACTGGCCTCAGGGACATGTCCGTACTCCCCTTAGAGCCCAAAAACTTCTCTACTCAACAGGTGACGGAGACACAGGTCAAGCAGGGCAAGAACCAGAACCAGAAAGGCAAACACACACAACACCACGATGAGGATGAGGATGAGGATGAGGAATTGGGGATCTCTAAATTACAAGTGCCCAGGCCGAAATATATACCTGTTTCCAAGTCAGACCTTTTAGATGCTATCATTTCTATGATGTTTAAATCTGACGACCAAGATGATATTCATCACTTTCGCCGCCTTGCCTCGTAAGATTATCCCTTCATGTCGGAACCATTATGCTATTATTTTCCACTGCCCTCTCCCCCTCTTTTTCCTCTCGTCATCATTATATATATTTACACACGCACGCACGCACGCGCGGGCATGTCATGTACACGCTGGTGCGACTTCTAGATGCCTTTAGGCATGTCATGTCTATGATTGAATGGTGATAAAATAAATAGCCTTTATAGAATATCTAAACAACTATAAGTTAACTAACTTGGAGACTTCTTGCATGTTTGGGTCAAATAGAAAAGCAATTACTTCTCCTATGCCTCATGTGAACATTGTTTATAGTTGGCTTTCTATACATTTGATGTTATATTATATGTTGATGTTTTGCTCCTCCCATATGATTCTCTGAGGTGGAGTGAGATAGGTAACTGAACTCTGCAATCAATATCTTTTTGCTAATATATATGTGATCTGCTTGGTCCCCATTTTCTCATTACGTGCCTCTTTGCTCTTTGGCATAACTGCAGATGCTTAGACTCTATACTTCACGCTGAGCACAAAAGGATTTTAGAAGAGATGCGTTCTGATTATCAGGTCAGCAATTCAGCGGAAACCGAGTGCTTCAGTCCACCCAGTTCAGCTGATTCAGAAATGGAAGACGTGGAGAATGGTTATGAGTCTGATGGAATTAACGGTGGGAGAATCCTTGGAATTGAGGACAGTGAGGCCTATCAGGATATGGTTGATGAAGCTGAATGGCAAATGCCTTTTTTCAACAATGGTCTAGACCTGAGAAGTCTTTTACGTTCTCTGGAGAAAAATAGCAAGAAGGATTCTAATACAGGGTCCAGGTACTCCTCTAAGAGTTTGATAATTCTCCTAATATGGTGCAAGAATTGCTTTTAACAAAATTTGAAATCATATATGATCCTTTAGTTTTCTGTTCAATAGCATTGTTGGAAACATGTCATTTGGGAGAAAAGATTATATTAGGACTTCAGTGGTGTGCTGTTGAACTTTCGCAAAATCTTGGAAGGATCAGCTGTCTTTGTTCTACGGTTCTTCTAGATCCCCAAAATTTCATTTCCATCTTTCAATTTTTGATTTTTAAATTGGGTACTTCTAGTTTTCAATCAGGCGCTGTTAGATCTTTTCTTGATCCTTCCCTCTGGAAAGCAACTACATTGAATAGGAAAGCCCAATTAACAAAATCATTGCTTAAAGGAAGAAAATGAACTTGCTAGAAATAGATGTTGATCTTGTTTTTCAGAATGAATCAATACAAGGAGGTAATGCCCTGGGTTCATGAGACGAACGCTGTTGCAGCATAAATTGTTATATCAGGATACTAATTTGTGTTTAAAAGAAAAGGGGAAATCCATTTTACTGCTATTCTTGTCTTCTCTTCAATTTTTATTTGCAGTTTTGTTTTCTTTGTTTGCAGAATTACTGTTGCTTCTCGATTCCAGCGTGCTTTCATGCAACTTCTTTCGGATGCTCAATTTGAAGAACTATCAGCTAGGGATCTGATGTTAACATCTGCTTTGAACACAGACTATCTTCTTAATTTGCCAATATACATTGATTGGAACAAAGCATACGAGTCAAATGCCATAATATTTAGGTAGTTCCGTGAATATGTGGATGTTTCTATTTTCATATTGAATTTTAAAATCTCAAGAGATTGATCTTCAATCCACGATACCATATATAAATAGATATATCATTTTTGCTTTAAATGAAGAACCATTCTATAATCTGTTCTTTTTAGGTGGGAGTGGATTTAATCAGTATGGATGTAATCAATATGAATTTTAATATCTATATCCTGGTAAAATAAAGTTTCTGTATTCAAGTAATGTTTGAGATAAAAATAATTCGCAAAATTTAGCGTATTCCTTCTGTTTATGCAAGAATAACATATCACCGTTTTTCTATTGCAGGCGGGGATATGCAACTGAGAAGCAGAAGGGCCCATTAATTGTTGAAAAACTGGATTATCTTCAGTCTAAACTTCTGCGAAGAATCTTCTTTGTTGTATCAAAACCTTTAGGGAGACTTGGCACTTGGATAAGTGAGGTCATTGTTTTGTGGCAGTTCCATCATTTAGCTTTTCCACCACTGACATATGTAGATATTTATTCAGATGTCATTTTTCAAGCATGGAAAGAGGACGTCTCCACTCATTTTGCTGACAAATGATATTCTTTTTCCCTCTTTTGGCCAACAGAAAAATATATTCGTCTAGTCTAGCTTGTCAAATATAGAAAATAATAAATTCCCTTTGACACATGTGAAAGTTTTGTCAAGTTTAATTTCCTTAAATGTCATTTGTAACATGTTTTGTACTCTTCTTATGCAGCTTTACAAAAATGCAAGTCAGAAACCAGAAGTACAGAAGTGGACAGAAAGATTGAAGCTTTGGCTAAATGAAGTGTCAGCATTTCAGAAGTCGTTACTTTATAATGGCAGCGCTTCAGATGAGCAACAATGGTTAAACGAGTTTAATAATGGAGAACTCCCCATTGAGCTGGCAGCACAGAAGGCGGTAGCTCGATATGAAGGGATTTTGTCGGCAGTTGGTCCCCGTGAAAAGCTCTTGAGGAGGTTGCTTTCTTGGATTGGACTTATCGCCCCAACACCTGAAACAACTTTCGAGGTTGACAATGATGCCAATTCTCTTGAACCTTACTTGAGGTTTGTTTGCTCTTCATAAAATTTTTACTTATTTAGCTCTTCTAGATGCTTTTCTTATTCACACATTATCTCAATCCTTTTATTTCTCCGTGAAACATGCATGTTTCATTTCTGCTAGATGCTGTGATAATTTTAGGCTATTAAGCATACATACAAGATAGATGAAATGAAGCAGAGACAGAATGACATATGAGGATTGGATGCAGCTCGGACATTTAGTTTAGATATATACAAACTATGTAAGTATTGATATATTGGTATGAAAACACTAAGAAGTGCCAAAATATGCCCAGTATGTCTTAAAACATTTAAGAAGTATTCAACAAACATCAAATGTTTAAATTTGATAGTTTTTGTTCATAAAAATTCCATTCATACTGTTGGAGCATTGACATGAGTGCCAAGAATTTGATCCACGTCAAACGCAGACAGCTTCTTTGATGACATGATATTTACCTCACAGCTTCTAGGTTGACATAAACTCTATTTGAATGGTGATGCTTTCAACCTCGATCAACATCGGAGGCTGACTCCTAGATGTTTGTGCTCAAATCCCCACTAGCTCAGCAGAGGACAGCTGGATTGTACAGATTTGTGAATCACAAAATTTTAAAAGATTAAGCGGATTTAGTTTTTATCATTTTTTTTTTAGCTTTGTTTTGTCAATTAGGGACCATAATTGGTGTGGATTGCACATAAAACTGAAGCAGTATAATAGATCTGATGTAAATGGAAAGATAAAATATCTGCGGAATAACATACAACTGTCTTGATGTCATATAGAGTTTTTCATGGCAAGTTAGATTATGTGCTTAGTAAATTTTTTAATTTGCGAGTTTTAGGTGTAAGTTAATTGAAACATCACCTTGTGAGATGACCGAGCGATAGAATTGTCCATCCAGGCCTACTTTCTTGTCAAGGATATCACTAAGTGATATATGGAGGCCTGCAACAAGGAAATACTGTGGAAACAATCCCTGGAAGATGTTGAAAACTTCTATTTCCATACTTTTCTCACAGTCAGTTCTCCAGGTATTTGTCATTTGTCACCACGCACATTTTTGCAATTTTTGATGCTGTATAAATATATATTAAGTAAATTGGAGTTCCCTCTTTAGTAAGATCTTTAAATTGCATGACTTTCCCCCTTTGTTTGGAAAATCTGTGTTCCTTTCTCTCTTGAAATCAAAAGGTGCATTACATTCACTTCCTTAAATAAAACATAAACCACAATTACATCTATTTTGATCAAAATGCTGTTATATATATATATATATCATGTTTTAGTATACCTAGTATTAAATATGTTTTGATTCGGTGAACATTTAATAATGACACAAAAAAATAGTTAATTTTGGAAATATATAATTAGAATAAATTAGATTTATAACGTTTAGCACAAATTAAAGGGTTGGAGAAAAAATCAGTGCTATAATATACACAAACCCCTTACATCTAGAAAAAATAAATATAAGTGGTTTGTGTGTAATTTCATAAGAAAAAGGATGATTTTTTAATTTAGTAACTCTAAAGGGAGAGGAATGTAATTTATTCATATTTATATATCAAATGTATTTCAGGGAACTGATCCTGCATTACTTTTGTGCATGAGTTATTGAGATTTCTTGTATTTATGACCTAAATGTGTAGTTTAGTTCTTTTTTTAGGTGGGCAGTGTCATAATTCTTCTGATTAATATTACAGTTCTTTTCTTCTATTTTGGGACTGATTTTAAGTGTACCTTCTTATCTTCAGTTTTCTTTTAATTGGGATGCCAAAATGTAATTCCTAACGAATTGGATAGAGTATGGTGCAGTCTTATTATTCCACCATCCAACTTCCTTTGAGTGACATAAATTACGCCATTTCCCTCTTTTTGCTTTTTGCAAATTTCTTTTTGCCAATTATTATGTTTTTGCTGTTTCCATTAAGAGAAACGCTAATAAAATTAGGTTCCCTAGTTGTGACTTCTGATAGTAAATAAGAAATGGAGTTCTTTACTGGAAGTGATGTTTTGTTGTATGGTTTTAACTATCTAATTAGTTGTTCCTTGATATGCTTTCATTATAGGAGCCAGCATTTGAAGAGTTAATTTTACTTTATACTAAGGAGGTCAGTGAAAGAGATGCCAAAGATAAAGCTGCAGTTCCAGAGCTGCAGCTAAAGATCTATGAAAGGATCCCTATCCCAGATTTACCGGTAAAGCCTCTGCAACTGCAGAGACTGTCAGTTGTCTCATTTGTTGTTAGTCTTAAATCTGTGGTTATGAAGTTCTTCAAAATGTTGCTTCTGATGCAATGCGTTTCCTATATAAATATAATTATTGTTCAACTTCTCAGATGTTGTTAAATGTTGTTTGCAGGTAATTTTCCCTCACAAAAAGCTATCATTCCGCGTCATAGACACTGTAAGAACTAATCACCTAAAATTTTCATTACTAGTTTAAATTTTTCTGACATTAAATTATTGAAAAGTTGCAACCCACAGGTGTAGTGGTATTTCTGCGTATTTCTTCTGTATTTATGATAATTTCTCAGGTTACTTTTACTCTCTATGCATTAATCAACGATAGTCAGGGCCAGTTTTGCAAGAGATTAAGTAGCGCTCAGCTATTTAGCCTTAATCTAACAAAGAATAATAGTTCTCACTTTAACTGTCATAGGCAAGATAGCCTATATTTACTGGCATCACCTTCAGAGGAGACTAGTATACTAGATTGATAGACATGTCACGCCTTCCTTTTTTGCTAGTTTATTTAGAATTTCATGATATGATGCTGTTTGCTTATAGTGAAGGTTTCTTTAGCCTGTATTGTTTAGTCTGATGACATCAACTTCGACATTACAGGTCCGCTTGGATGTTGCTTCAATATTGGGGCTTTTGGCATTCGTAATAAACCATAAATTTGAGGATGTCTTGTCTTCACCGTATGTATATCTTAGTTCTCATATTAACTGTTCTGAAAAATGTTGCAGCAAATTTTTATCAGGGTTTGGACTTAATTTAAATTTGGGTTTTCTGATTCTTGGTAGACCATGCCTTAAGAATCTGGAATATGTTATTCACAAAGCATATTGCTTCCTGAATCTTGTGTATTAGAATCTGGAATATGTTATTCACAAAGCATATTGCTTCCTGAATCTTGTGTATTCTTTGCTTCTCTTTATGATCTATATTTGTAAAGAAAAATATTGTCAAGCTTGACAGTCTACCTCTACAATCTACATGCACATACTGTTGAATTGAACAGTGATTTTTGAATTGGTCTATCCTCTGCTTTGAGATTTTTGTAACACCATTTTTCCTTGGCAATGTCTCGGGCCTAAGAAATATTACTGTTGAGGAAATGATGAGTGCCTGTAACGTTATTTTAATTGTTATGACAGGTCAGCTATACTTCTTGATGTGGTTGCTATAAGTGCTCTAATAATATACATGACTCGTGTAGTCTTAGGTTACAAGCAAACATGGGATCGGTATCAGGTGAGTTAACACTAGATTTCTCGTATACTATGCGAGAGACGATAATGATAGTAATTTATGCCACAATTTGGGTAAATGCAAATTTATGTACTGTGAGGAATGTGTTATTGCAGCTGTTGGTCAACAAGACTCTTTATGAGAAGACAATAGCAAGTGGCTTTGGCTCAGTGCATTTTCTTCTAGATGCTTCTGAGCAGCAGCAAGTGAGAAGCTCTTTCCTCTCCTGTTCTTGTTACATATATCTTTCCAACTTATGAAGTTAGATAGTTCAACGAAATAAAAAACTACAAATTGTAAGTGATATAAGTTTTAGTCTCGCGATTATTTCAGTATAGAAGGGCAATATAAAATTTTTCTTTCCCTTTTTGGTAAGCTCAGCAACTTCCTTAATTCTTCATTTAATGTTCCTGTCTCACCAATTTATGTTATGAACTTGGAAAGACATGATTTGGAAGTCTCTCTCTTTTTTTTTGGGAAATATATTATCCGCTGGGGTTCAATTTTCAATTTGATCATGATCAGATACATTAAACAAGTATATTTTGGTAAATGTTGACAATTATGGACTGATTGCACGGAGTTAATGTTATGAAACTGAATTTGTTGACTGAAATCTTGAAAATTTATGGACTGAAGTGAAAATTTTGGTCCCTTTTAACTTTCCAGCCTCAAATTATAGATGCATACTGATCTTTACCCATCAAGAAACTCATAGTTGCTGATGCTTACAATTGCAGTACAAGGAAGCTATTTTGGCTTATGCCATGCTGCTCAAAGCAGAGAAGGGTCAGGTTTGTTCTTCCTGTTTCTCATGTTCATGACAATGATCTCGTTGCCATACTTTCTAGCAGAGTTTGTTTTGCATGATTTTGGAGTAGAATGAACTGGATAAGCCACTTGACATAAAGCATGTCCAAAGAATGGAAAAATGGATTTGCATCCTGTTCAGGGGATCTGGATCCTTTATAGCCTTTGCATGCTTGATTAAGGAGAAAGACAGAGTGGTTGGATCTGTTCCCACTATTCTCTCTCACTCTTCTTTATTGTCTGTTTGGTATGTGGAAAATGAATGGAAGGAAAAATTTTAGTGAGTTTGATTTAAAAAATTAAAGAAATGGGGTTATAAAATCTTAATAAAGAGAATATATAAGATAAAAAGAAAAAGAAATTAATTAAAAGCTTTTAACCCCACTTGTCCATTTTTGTAGATTGAACTCATTAAATTTCCCTCTGTTCCCCTTTCTTCCATTTCCTTCATACCAAGTAGACCCTTAGTGCTCGTTGGGATTGGATGTGGAGAAGTGATTTGTGCTGTGCGAAGCAAATATGTGAAAAAAGTTTTATCTTGTAATCTGTAAAAACACTTGTTTTAAGCCGATCCAGTGGGCCATACAATGGTAAGACTAAGAGGGAACTAGTAGACTCATGTTCGGCAGGGTCCATTGCTCTATTTCTCTCTCTCTCTTCATTAGATTCTTGAAGCACTAAAGGAGATGTGCACTATTATGGATAACCAAATTCCTACATGTAGGTCACTTGTCGACAAAGTGTTCGAGACAAATGTGAGAGGTTTATGTATGAAGCATTTAAAGTAAAGGTAACACTTGATTATTTTATCCTTAATGCTCAGTACAGCGATGATGGTGGCAATGGTGACTGTATGAAGTACTATTAACTAATAACTTGACAATGACAGGTTGAAATGTCAATTGACAAGGCCGTCAATACACTACAAAGGCTGAGCCTAGCTACTGAAACTGTCATTGATGGAAGACCCCAGTTGGTGGCCACACCATGTTCTATGGCATACGAGGCCCTTCAACAACGATGGAACAATTTGCTCACATAACTTCATACACCTGAGTTTTCTATGCTCCATGAGGCAAGATATAGATATATATATATATATATATATATGGATAGATAGATGGATAGATACAAGGCAGGTGGGCTCCACCCGCATTCTGTCTAGGCATTTGCTTCTCAGAGCAGAGATCGAGCCCCCTTTACACGAAGTTGGATCTTTTAGCGTTCCTCAAGGGAATCCTAACCCCAAACTCAGTTTGGGTGGTGCAAAAAGGTAGAGCCTTAAATATGCACGTCTTTTTTTTTTTTAGCCCCGGAATAGAAGGCTGTGAGAAAACGATCAGAGACTAGCTAGCTGAAGGAAATCTTGAACTGTAACATGCATTATCTTTCTCTTCAATTGAAGACTCTGAAGCAGTTGAGAGTAGTAAATGAACTTCAGTATATGCATAATTTGTGTCCTCCCCAAGAAGGCTGTCTGTAATTGCATATGTTGTAGATACAGATCATCCGGTAATAGTACTGTAAATAGATGAGACTATAGGCTTCGGTTTGGAGTTTGGCATGCTCAATACAATAGTCAAATATATAGATATAGATATTGCAAAAGGATATTCCATTTCTCTCCTTGATTCCATAAATGAGCTTGTGAGAAAAGTGGCACCTTTTCGCGTATCAGAAAGTGAAGTTGAATGTGATGGGCTTCAAATGAAATCATTTAATTAAAAGTACAAGCACAACCAACAAATTAGCCGTATAGTATCACGACAGTTTTAAATGCATAAATATAGATCAGAGATCATTGATGAGGAATATGGTGAGTATTATATTGTGCTAAATCTTGTCTTCTGAAAAACCAAGGATTAAGATAACAAAGTGGTCCAGGTTTTATATTATAAAGATAAGAAAGCACGCGTCTCACGGGTCAGACTCGGGGATTAGATCTCATACATATATAACATATGAATGAATCTACATTCGACAGGAACTGAGAGGCACGAAGAATTACACACACACACACACACACACACACACAAATAAAAATATCTAATATCTGTTATTATTATATTAAATTTAGATATTTTTGGGCTCAATTAAAATCAAAACTAGCTTTGCGAATAATTGAATATTTTTTGGGGCTAAATTTCATAAAAATTCCTTAAACTTTAAACTTAAAAACCATGTACAAATAATATCCTTAACCTTTAGTATATAATAATAAATCCTCCTACACTTTTAAAATTTATGCAAATAATTTCAAACTATTAATTTTATACCCTCTTAAACATATTTTTTAATACACACAACTCACTCAAATTTTGAGTCATAGGCAGATGAATCCTGTGAACTCTTTAGTTATTTACATATAAATAATGAACAAAACTAATAGTATTAGAGTTATTTATATAAATATAAAAGTCTCAGAACGATTTATTGTAAAATTTCAAAAAAAATCAAAACTTTATTTACATATAGGGAAAACTAATTCGCTAGTCCTTATCATTTTACCAAATTTTGAATCAAGTCCTTGTAGTATTTTTTTTTTTTATCCAATCCTTATTGTTTGCACAGTTATCATCACAAGTCCTTCCGTCTAACAAAATTTAAAGATTCCGTTAGTTACCTTTGAGATGGATGATGTGGTCCTTTGTTGTTGAAGGGTGATGATGTGCTGGCCATGGCAGAGGTGCCTTCTAGCTCAATCTTATTGCTTGTTTTCTCAAAGGCAGCTTTTTTATAATTTTTTTAATGACTATCTTTCTTTTGCCCAATCACTCATTCCTTCCTCCCCGTGCCAGTGTGCATGCTTGGTCAAATGCCACATCAGCCCATCTCAACATAAACTAATGGAATCTTACAAATTTGATGGACGGTCTTATATATATAAATGTGTAAACATTAAGGATTAAGGAAAAAAAAAGAGAAACTATAGGGACTTGATTCAAAATTTAGTAAAACTATAAGGAACGGTGAATTAGTTTTCCCTTACATATAATATAAATTTCAAAAAATTTTAGGAAAAATTGAAGATAAATCTCTCATTGAGAAATTAATTGGCAAATGGTCCTCAAATACTTGTGTTACTCAACTTACATTGTGTGCAATTTAACTTCATTATGTGTAATCCATCTTCTTTGTGTGTGATAATTTTTCCTTATGCGATGTGCAGCTCAACTTCTTTTTGTACAACTGAACTTTTCTTGTATACAAGTCATCTTCCTAACGTGTAAATTAATCTTTTATGTTCAAATAATATTTTATGCAACCTATCTTCTTTTTGTGCAACTTATAATCTCTATTGTATACACCTTGTCTTTCCTTATATAATTCATCATTCTAGGACCATTTCCTAATTAAATTTTTAACGAGGGATTTATTCTCAATTTTTCTAAATTTTTTTATAATTTAGCATTCAAACTCTTTCTGCTCAAGTCTCTTTCATTCAACCCTATACTACTAGTAATGAAAGAACTTTGAATGACCAAATAAAAAATTAATGAAAAAAATTTAAATTTTAAAAATAAATTATTCTTAAATAATTTTAAAATATATATAGTAAATTTTAAATTCTATCATGAGTCCGTGTATCTCGCTAATTTTATGGGCACCTGGAAACATTTCATTATGGTATGGGCAATGATTCAATAAAACAAGCCAGCATCATTGTTATTATTATTAATTCATACAAAAGTCAGTCTCATTCAGACCATTTTCCCAAACTCCTGCTATTTATTAATGAATCAGATTAAACCGCTTTTTTGGGTCAAATTAGCGGAGCATTACATTATGATTGTCCTACGTGGCAAATGGAAATATTTGTGAAGGATAAAAATTACACTATTTATTTATTAACCGTATTTAAAATTTGATACAATTCATTTTTTCACTTATTAAGAAGTAATTTATGGTTTAAATATGAGGGAATTTAAAAAATTATCTTTAAATATATTTAATGACTTAATCACCTCTTCTTAATTCTAATGAAGTGGTTGAATGCGTCTTATAATAGAAATAAGAGGAGTATATTTTAATGATTTTTAGAGATCGGGCTGTAATTTTAGAAAAATAGAAAATCTCAATTATCTATCCTTTTTTTTATAAATATTATCCATCCTTTTTCTAATCAAAGAAATTTTTTACCTGAAAAAATAAAAAAAAAGGATTTGGTCATTGATCAAAGACCAAATTTTCAAACCACGGATTTATTATGGGTGGGATATAAATCTTGTAAAGATGAGAATTTATGAGATTAGAAAAAAAGATATTTGTGTTTAATTGAATTAAATCTTCTCAAGCTCCCATTTTTTTTAATGAGTTTTGTTTTTAATCCTTATTTTTTTTCATCCTATACTTTATTCCATCCAAATACTTGGATTTGACCTTACAGCAGTAAGTAGGTTGATGTGGACTAACTAGGGTTGATATAATTTATCTGCAGGAACTAAAATTAAAATTTGTGTAAAGTATAAGAACACAGAACGAGTTTAAGAAGCATTATGATTTTAGTTGAATATTTTAAATACTCCAAGACCAATAAATGAAGAGCTAAATTTTGCAAATAAAAATGTCATTATGTATATGAAACTCTCCCTTTTCAAAAGAATACCCAACATCGGAAATTGTTAAAACCCCACACATTTTCTTTGAAGTCTAGCTATTGACCTGTTTCCCCATAATAACTTCCTGGGCCCCTGAGATCACTCTCATGATGTGCACACAACAGCATGCTAACCATTTCAAACAATTAAAAAACAAAAAAGCCCAAAATCCAAAAGGTACAAAACGAAAGCTAACGACCGAAGAGTGGCTTATTCGAGTCCGCATGAGGCGCTCATTGATTATGCTCAGCGCCCAAACGACTTCGTTTTTGTGGAGGTGGGAGGCAGCTTCAATTAATTTTTTCTCCGCTTCACGTGATGCTTCCATCTCTCCATCTCTCTTCTTTTTCACGAGCCTGCTTTACTACCACAAATATATGCTACTATCTCGTATTGTTAATCTAAAAATTAGTTAAGATTTATATTTAATTTTAAATATAAGATCTCAATCCATTTTATTTTATATCTTTTTTTAAAATATCTTTATTGACTATATAGAATTTTCATCAAGTGATAACTTTAATTATCCAATACACATAATTGAGAATAATTTAGAAAGACCAATACAAATTTGTGACAAATAAATATATTAATTTTTTAATATTTTCAAATTTGTTATCTAGCTCTTATATTAAAAATACGGGGTAGTATGTATATTTTAGAATTATGTTTAAACTAAAATTAGGCTCCTACACGATTTGATTATCCATAATTTTTAAAGGAGTCAAAATACATCCAACATCTTAAAATATCTTTTAAGTACTGAAAAATACTTTGAGTTGTTAGATGAACAACAAATTAATTTAATATACCAAACACTACTTACGAAATACTTGAGAATGTTAGATGTGTTTTCTATTATTTAAAAGATATTTCAAAATGCTGGGTGTATTTTAATCCCTGTAAAAATTACAGGCAATCATATTGTGTCACTATAATTTTTTTTTGTGAAATATTATAGGAAGCATAATTTTAGTTTAAATATAATTTTAAAATACATATATTATATATGTGTTAATTATAAAAATGTAATTACAATCTTTAATTATTTTAATTTTAAAAATGCTAAAATAAAAATCAAGTGATTTTTTTATTAAAAAAAAAGTGTGGCTAACCTGATAAAAAAAAGGAGAAAATGGCCACAAAATACCATATGAATTTCAAAAAGCAAAGAAGGCATCCAAATAAGCAAAAAGGACAAAGAAGACATTAAGTACCAATATGAAATTTTGATTTTTAGGCTAAAGACCGAAATGCCCTTATTATGTTTTTTACAAAAAAGTTACTCAGTCTCTCAAAACAGGTTGCAAAACCCATTAACAAAGTAGTAACTCTTACTATGAAAATTGTAAATTTCACTATGTGTTTTGTAAAATTCAGCGTGGAATTGTATTATTTTTTACAGAAAAGTTGCCCAACCCCTCAAAATAAGTTGTAAAACTCATTGATAAAGTAGTAAATCTCATTATAAAAGTTCTAAATCCCACTATGTGTTTTATAAAATTCAGCGTAGAATTATATTGTTTTTTTACAGAGAAGTTGCCCAGCCCCTCAAAACATATTGCAAAACCTATTAACGATGTAGTAACTTTCACTATGAAAGTTGTAAATCCCACTATGTGTAGAGCCGGTAATACGGGCTCGGCCCGCGGGCCCAGCCCGCTAGCCCGCCAAAAAAGGCGGGCTTGGGTTGATGTTTTCCCAGCCCGCCACGTAGCCCGCACCGCTTTTGGCCCGCTCCGCCACGGGCTAACCCGCTGGTTGGCGGGTCAGCCCGCCAGCCCGCCTTTTTTTTTTTTTTACTTTTTCTGATTTTTAATACATTATATAATATAGTTAGATGATTTTGACCATTAAATTTCATATGGACATTACCTCATCCATATCATTATATATATAATTAATTAAGCACTTCATATATATGTATGGTTATATGAAGAGCACTATCCATCTTTTATTTTTATATCTATTTGTCGTTAGTATGCACGGCTTCATAAGATTAGATAAATATGT